CCAAGAGAAACTTTCAAGTTTTGTGGTATGTTAAACCATATAGGAAAGCACTGTCAAATATGAAATGGTGGTTAATTTTCTTTGGGTTGTAGTTGTATAAACACCAGGGGCTGGAAAAAATGTATACACATTTTAAGAGATGTTATTGATGTATTACTTTTTGAAGTTGAACTGAATTATGGCAGCAATGTGCACATGACCTTTGCTCAAAAGATAGACTTAATCAAGTGAATGCTAGTGTCATCATTTGATAGTCAGGACAAAGAAAATGGCCAAAACGCAGTTGTCCTTCAAGCAATGCAAGACCATTTTGAAGTGGTACTTGAAATTCAAGAACAATGTGGGAGTAGAATGGAGACAGCAGACTCTCCAACACACATGACACTTTTAGGCATTCGTGGTATGTTTCAGACGATGGTGCCGTGTGTATGGTGTGCACAAGGGACCATCTGGGAGGGCTTCGTGCGGGAACAAGTCCTGCTTCTGCTATGATGCTGAACAGTTCACACATTCGCCACAGAAGTCTCTGAAACAATGTGCCCCTGAGCCAGGAGTTAGCAGAACAAGCATTCTTAAAACAGCAAAATGGCATTATAATTATATGCACTGACATGTGAGAGCTTACTTTGATGCAGTTGCGTTTTCTCCATGTTCTCCTGATTAACAGCCTTAACTTCTACCCATGAAGGGCCTTCAAGGATGTGGTATACTGTAGGAAGCCAACTACAATGGTGGTACTCTGAGAAGAAATTGAAACATGTGCAGCCATACAAGTGGACACTTTGGTCAATGTTGCACAATGGTGATGGCAACCACTTTGAGCACCTCTTGTAATTGCAAAAAAACAAGTGACTTGTTTGTATTCATCTTTTGTTATCAGTATATATTGTTACAATTTTAATAGTTTTTTTCCTTCTTAAAATAAGTATACATTGTTTGGCACCCTCTGTATATTATAAATACCTGTTCCAGAACTGTATGAGATTCCTAAAGTTCTAATTTGCCTTAGTATTATAGTATCAATAATAATTATGTGTGTGCTAAATTATGTATAACAGAAATAACCACATCTGCTTTGTATCTTTAGTAATGAGTACTGTACACTTTTTATCATCTAAAGACAATTATTTTCCTTTGATTCTTCTTAAATGACAATTTATAATCAGCTACAGTCCAAGATTTGAGTAAGAGAAAGCCATGGAAAGAAGTAAAATATTTTATGGCTTTTTATTTAAAACATTACTGATTCTCTTGCTTTCTTTTCTATAGAAATTCATGACAAGTTTTCAGTAAATAGCAAATTTACCTGGTATCTCCAGAATTGAAAACCACTGACTCCTGCTGGGGCCCTCCTGTTATGCACAGCCTATGCCTTGCTACTAAGACTACAAACATACTCCTGTAGGCCCAAGGAGTGCCTTGGAAGAGGCATGCATGTGAGACTGTAAGGGCCAGATGGGATGGAATCAGGTTAGATCCTCCAAATCAAGGATGGGCACGCAAAAGCCTGAATACTAAATGAGAAACTGCCTTTTAGTCCACACATCCATCCTGAGTATAATGGTTCTCAGTTATGAGGTTTATATAGAAAGAGACATAATAAGAAATTTATCAGCCATCTTAAGACGAATTACTGAAGAGATAAAAGCATTGTGACAGGACAAAATCTCTTAATTCCTTAGTTGAAGTGGTTACCAATGCTTATGTTTGTTGCAAGATTGCAAATAAACCAATTCCTTAGTTTAAGTGGTTACCAATGCTTACATTTGTTGCAATATTGCAAATAAACCAAAGAATGTAGAAGCTCAACAGTGATAAATTAACTTTGTAGCCTTGCCTTTGACATTGTTTTTATTACTCTTACGTTACCCAGAAGGTTTTAAAGGGTTGATGAGTGCCACCCACCTCCAATCCCATTTGGCCTGAAACATTTAATTGGCTCTCAGGCCTTTTGGCTCTTCAGTCCTCTTGGCCACAAGGGTCCCAGCGAGGGCCTGGATGGACCCAGGGCAGGTAGTCATACCACCCTGGCAACGAATGGGACAAAATGAAGTTTGGCCATCAATGCTGCTTCTGGCAGCTGGCAGCTAAAGGGGGAGAATTGTGAAATAAAATAAAATCTTAAGGCTCTCCTACAGCAGCTGACTGAATGGACCCCCCTCTTGGCCCAGAGGATAACCTAAAACTGAGTTGCTGGCCATGAGAAAGGAGGTGAGACAGGCCTCTTCACTCCGCCCCCCTTCTTGGTGATACCCTTTGTATACCTCATTTACAGGCCTAAGGCTATGCAAGAGAAACCTGCAGGTCCTCCATATTCTAACAAATCACTTGAATTTGGGTGTGCATCTGGTGGCTTGTCTCTAATTAACAGACTTCCTTAACATACCGCATTCTAAGCCTAGGACAAACCTTCATTTCTTTAACCAATTACAAATCAAATAATCTTTAAACCCAAACCCACCTATAACTTATAAATACCTGCTTTGAGATGTCCCACATTTTGGGGCCAAAATAATGTACTGCCCTCCATGTATTGACTTACAACTTTGTGTAATTCCTGATTACCTGAAATGTATAAAGCTAAACTGTACCGAACCACAGCGAGTCTCTGTGCTTGAGGCTTCGTGGGTGTGGCTTCAGACCATAGTTGGGAAATTCTGCTCAGAATAAACCTCTTTAAATTATTTCACAGAGTTTGACTTCTTTCTGTTGACAGTTGGCTTGGACTATGGTGACAGCAGTGGAGAAGTGGTGGAGAAATTCAAAATTATTTTTGGAGTGATAGTTTTTTTTTGTTGTTATTGCAGTTTTTGGCTGGGGTCATATTTGAACCCGCCTCCTCTGGTATATGGAGCCGGCACCCTACTTCTTGAGCCACAGGTGCCGCCCGATAGCAGCTTTTCTTATGGATTGGTTGTTGCAGTGGAAATGAGTGGATTGGTTGTTGTGTGAGAAAATGAGTAGAAAATGAATCCTAGGTTTTTGGTTTGAACAACTGGGACACAGTGATATGAAATATAAATTATAAATGTGGAGGGATTACAATAAGTGGTAACATTTATTGAGTACCAATTATATATCATTATCTACTCAATTGCACATATTATTTTCTCAACAGTATTGGGAGGGTAGGTTCTGGTTTGGTTATGAGTGAACCCATTATGTTTCGTGATGGACAGAATCTTAGGGACAATGGCTATGCTGAGTAAAAGAAATGTGAGAAAAGAGCAAAGGAACCCTTCATTTCCTGGGCAAGGACTACAGGCGCCTGCTGCAATACCTGGCTATTTTTTTTGTTGTTGCAGTTGTCATTATTTAGCTGGCCTGGGCCAGGTTCGAACCCGGCTCCCTCGGTGTCTGTGGCTGCTGCCGAACCACTGTGCTACGGGCACCAAGCCATATTCTTTGGTTTTGATATAAGGATAATGCTGGCCTCATAAAATATGCTCTTCTAAGATCAAGAAGAATTTTTTTAAATTTGCATTATTTCTTAGAAGTAGAAGGTATTGACCCATCTCAGGATTATTTTCAGTATTTTCTGTCCTTTCATGCCAGGAGTGTTTGAAATGCCTGTGAAACCCACGTGTCCATGCTGCTTTACATTGCAGTGAGTGAAAACAAATCAGGCAACCATCAACTGATTCCTTTTTTCTCTCCTAAAATTCTTGCAACTTTTATAACCATGGATATATAAAAATATTGTTTTTTAAAAAACAATGAGTTTTGGGCGGCGCCTGTGGCTCAAAGGAGTAGGGCACCGGCCCCATATGCTGGAGGTGGCCGGTTCAAACCCAGCCCCAGCCAAAAACTGCAAAAAAAAAAAGTTTTACTATACATTTTCCTTCACACATTTCATAAGAAATTCAAGTAACCATGTAATAAGGAAATAAACCAGAATACTGGAATATACTAGAATATTAGAGATGCAGCACATCAGACTGGTCCAAAATGGCAAAAATGAATGAACAGCCCATCAAATATAACAATCAACAGATATAAACAGGAACTTGATTTAATAGAACTATTGCAGTGACTACAAAATACAGATTTTAAAATGATTAGTGACATAAAAGAAAATTGAAGGATGATACATAGAGAAGAAAAATAATTTTTGAGACATAAAATCCAAATAGGTACAAAAAAAGATTTCTACAGCTGACAAGAGAATTCATGAACTAGAACACAAATATATGAAGATATCACAAAAGATAAAGTAATGGGCAACGTGGAAGGGCTTAAAAGATACTGAGAATAGAATGAGAACATCCAATGTACAGTTTTAAAAAATAGTAACTATACCGTGCCTTTGAAATTGGTTCTCTGTAACAACTTCATTTATAATTAATACTGTGGGTGATCTTGCTACTGAAAATCCAAACGTGTTTCTTAAAATACTATTTGTTTTTCAATATTGTTGCTTATTTTTTTGAGACAGAGTTTCACTATGTTGCCCTCGGTAGAGTGCTGGTGGCATCACAGCTCACAGCAACGTCAAACTCTTGGGCTTAAACAATTCTCTTGCCTCAGCCTCCCAAGTAGCTGGGACTACAGGCGCCCGCCACAATGCCTGGCTATTTTTTTGTTGCAGTTGTCATTGTTGTTTAGCTGGCCCAGGTGGGGTATGTACCGGCCAGCATATGAACCAGCCTGTGTAGGTCTATGTGGCCAGCACCTTATCTATGGAGCTACAGGCACTGCCCTGCTTCTTATTTTTAATGTAGCTTCACCATGATATATAGATGGTCACAATTTTAAAGTTCTTTCTTTTTTACACCATTAATTAATTAATCTTACATCGCTGGGAACCAGTTTTAATTAAATGTCACATGAAGGTAGCAGTCTACTCATTGGTTCTAATTCATACTGAAGGAAAATTTGTCACTCCTGCTACTTCTATTGTTTTCAGCTATAGCATGAGTCAGATTCTACTGAAAACACTAAAAGTATGTACTTGAAAAGAAGAAATATTTAGCCTAAAATATAGCATGAATAACAATTACTTCTGAAGAGAGAGCAGAGATGTTCCTTGAAACTGTCAAAGCCTCACTGTGTAATGATTAAATCAAATTACTAAAAATCAATTGGAAAAATCCTCTTAGTTGTTAAATATTAACTCCTGCACAAAATTCATGGGTGCTTTAAAATGACAACTAAATTCAAGGAGGTGCATTTAATTCCTATCCCCTGCCTTTTCCAAGTTCAAAGTTCTTCAGTCCCTATTCAAGGGTAATTCAGATGCTGAAGATCACACCCAAGCTTTCCATCCGGGGAAAAGTCGGCTGAGATTTTTGGGGTCCATGGCCTGCTGAATGAGCAAATTCACTTGTCCACCCACACTGAGCACAGTGCCTTCTTCTACCCCTTTCAGTTTCTCTTGCAGTCTCATCAAGACTCGTTCAGCTACTTTGTTGAGACTCTGGTCAATATCACTAATGATAAAAGAACAAACGTTTCAGTGAACAGTTTAAAGAGCCTCAGAAATAAGAAAATCTGAACAATTGACACTAGGTCCTTTCTAAAATACTGCTCACCTGAGATTTTGTTTGCACTCTTGGTCATCTGCATTTAGAGTGGAGTGAAGCTCAGTTTCATCTTCTGGTCTCTGCTGTAAATACAAAGCTTTCAAAGGATTCATGGTCCAGTCAAAGAGTGGATCATACAGAAGTACCTAAATAGAATATATGTATAGAGAGAACAATGTGCATTTGGTCATTTATTTAGAAACAGTAAAACGAGTATTATAAAAATCACACGTAGTTGATGGGATGGGGGAGGGAAGCAAATTTATGACACATCCTTGTGGAAGAAACTATCCTAGCATAATGCTCCAAGCGTCTCATCCCTATCCTGAATTCACTCTTCCTCCATGGCTAGAGGATGACGACATCCCTTGACCCATGTTTCCTGACTGGCTGAAACTAGTCTATTAAAAGGAGAGACGCATGAGTCCTTTTCTTTCTTCCTTTCTCTACTCTTTGACTAGGGTAGTCCTGAGTTGGAGTATTTCCCCTATAGGCCCTGGTTCTTCTTCAGGGGAATTTCCTAGGAGATTGGGACCCAGGACACCATTAAGAAGCATCCTCCTAAAGCTGAAGACAGACCACAGTGAAATCACTTGGGAAATTAGTCTTGAAAATTGGGATAACCATCCCAAATAATTTCAGAAAATTTGAACAGATTTACAGAGGGAAAACTTTATAGATCAGTGTAAAATATACAAAACAAGAAGGTATGTTCAGAGGTAACACAATTATCGTAGGCAGAGACAAAAATCACTTCTCAGACTCAACCTTCACTCAGAGTGCAGGTAAATCCAAAGTCCCACAATGGTTCAGGAGCCCAAAGGTGATCTGGACATTATCGCTTCTCTAACTTGATCTCCTGCCACTCTTTAAAGAATGGTTCATGAGCAATTTGGTATTCAACTAATACAGTTTCTGAGGCCCCAAAGAATAACCTTCTTCTGCTAAGTGCTAGACTACAGCTACTGAAGAAACTCCCAAATCTACTGCAGCATAAAAAGCCCTTCCAACTGTGAGTAAGCAGAGGAAGACACCAAGAAATGTGTTCAACTGCTTTGCACCTTAAATTAATCTGAAAAGTTTCATTTTTTTTTTTTTGGTCTTAAATGCAAAAGGGCAAGACAAAATGATTTTAGAGTTTAATTTCTATATTATTGAGACTTCCTAATGGACATCATTCATAAAACAGTAATTAATACCATAGGGGGTGGGGAAGCTGCGGCTTTAAGGCCACATGTGGTCCTCTAGGTCTTAGGTGTGGCCTTTTGCCTGAATCTCAATTTTACAGAACAAATCCTTTTAATAAAAGGGGTGCAGAAGAAAAAGTTGAAGCTTTTCTTGCCTCTTTTGGTGCTTAAAAAGAACAATCTTGAAATCAGAAAGCCATAGCTATGTTCCTAATAAATTTGTGCCACCTCCTCCCTACTGCTGACCAGATCATCCCACGTTAAAATGAAGCCATGCTCTCCTAAGTGGTGACTTCCTCACAAGATGCGCTGTCTTGTAGAGAAATAAGGATTTACTTGTAGTCTGCTTTACCTCTACAATAGTTAACAGAGTTTCCTGAGAGCTTCTCATGACTTCCATGGTTTTCTCACAGCACCTTCAGAATCAAACACATGAAAAACATGGATCTTGTCACACACTAAGGTTTCCAATGTGTCTTTAGATCCACTCCTGTGTAGTATGCTAAGGCTGTTCTCGTTAATAATTTGAAGGTTTAAATCTCAAAGAACAGGATACTTGGCAGAGTGGACTTTCAATAGATACTTAAAATGAATACAAATACATACATGAATATTTCATAAGTTTAGCATTTATAAGAATAACACAATACTATAAAAGATTTATTTCTTTCAGGTTTTTATTACGGCAATTATAACTTTCTTTGGAATCTGCACCAATATGAGTATATTATATATAATATAGGAAAACTATAAGGAACTGAAAAACTTTTTGTAGCAGGAAGTTATAAGCTCTTAAGACAAAAAGATATAATCTCTGCTATATTCCCAACAATGAGCACCGAATAATCGTTATGATTATTAAAAAGGGGCAGAGGTGCCAAAGGTCCAGGTGGGCTGCTGCCAGAAGAGGTTACACAGTAGATATAGTATATGCATATTGGGTTAGGTCCCAGATGGCTAGAAAGAAGGGGAAACTATTATTGCTTTTACCCAAGGTCTTTTCTTTAGTACTGGTAAAGCACTAGGATAGAATTCTAAGACTGAATTACAGAATCTATAGAGATCTATAACCCATATAATTTTTATACCCAAATTTATGTCTCTCCTTTACATTGCACCACTGACCTTCTGAAGACACCTTCAACACCAGTAATGCCCATGCCGTCCACAATGTCTCTGCTAAGTCTAAAAGGGACTGTCTCAGGAGTAGGAAGGATTTTACCCTGTTCAAAAGCAACACCTAAAGTAAAAAATACAATGAGGTTAGGAGATTTGACAGCTAATTTACTTTCTTTCTAACTGGCATGTGAATTTTGCAAAGGCAACAAATAGTCTGTCCCCTATATTCCACTAATCCTAGAACACAGCAGTTTATTCTGTTTCTAGGCTCTGCCAGTCTTCTTCATCTTCATCAGTGTCCTCAGATCAACCTCAAATCCTAAACACTTCTTGATGCAGAGAAATCTAGATTAAAACAAATAATGACTGGTAGCATTTAAAATGCAGATGAGATATATATGCGTTTTTGATTTTTTTAAATAAAATTTTTAATTTTGAGATAATTACATATTCATTTGCAGATGTAAGAAATAATACAAAAAGATCATCCCACATAACCTTTACCCATTTTCCTCCAAAGGTTATATCTTACAAAACCATAGTACAATATCATAACCAGGATATGTTTACACTGATGAGTCAAGATATTTACTATTTCCATCAAACAATCCTTGGTGCTGCCCTTTTATAGCCACATCATTCCCTTCCCATGATTTATCATCCTCCCACCCCCACGTTTCTAGCAACACCTAATCTGTTCTCTGTTGTTATGATTTTGTTATTTCAAGTACGGTATATAAATGGAAATGTAATAATACAGTATGCAGCCTCTCAGCATAAAATTCTCTACAGATTCATCCAAACTGCCGTGTATATCAATAATTTTATTTCTTTTTATTGCTAAGTAGTGTTCCATGGTATGGATGTTAACATAGTTCATCTAATCATCAGCCCATTAAAGGACATGTGGATTTTTTTCACTTCTGGCAATTATGAATAAAGCTCCTACACACAACTGCAGTACAGGCGAACATCCTTTGGTGTGCTTATTTGGTATCTAAGTATCTTCTTTCGTGAGATGTCTCTTCATGCATTTTTCCCATTTTATTTATTGTTTTGCTGAGGATTATTTAATTATCTCTAATAATCTTTATAAATCAGCACATGAATCCATCCCAGGTAGGTTGGCCTCCCCACCTGCTGTGGTAGCATTTGTCTAGATGTCATTTCTCCCAAGGAAGTGGGTCATCGTAGGGGAGCAAGGCCTGAAAAGAAGAGACAGTCTCCCTACTGTCTGCCCCACAGCCCTAGGACACATTTGGCCTGGCCCGAGACAGGGCAGGAAGAGGCCACAGGGCTCAATGCAGGGACACAAGGCCAGGGTCCCAATTGGCCCGGGCTCCTGCCACCAACTCCATATCGGTTTTTGGTTTTGTCATTAAAAAAATAAAGTGACAACTATTGGAAGAAACCAGTTGTTGCACTGTCCTTTTTATTAAAAATGTAGGCAAGGGTGTGGCTTGTCTTCTCTTCAGCTGGTCCTGCTTCACTGAGGTCTGCCCACTTGTCCCGCATGTAGCTGTGAGCCTTGGTCTGCTTTTGAAGGCAGCAGTGTTGCATGTTGCACAGGTGCTTCTCAGATCATGGAATTTTGCCGGCATCTAACACCAGCACTGGGTCCAGCAAAGATGTCCCAGAGCAGCTTGATGTTCTGGAGGTGGGAGTGCATGCCTGAAGCCATGCATCCTTGAAGGTGGCATAGATCCAACGCTGAGCCCAGCTGTCCATGTAGAGCACCTCAAGCCCAAAGCAGACTATCTCTTCCTTGCATTCACCACCCTCAATGAAGTATAGCATGGCTCAGAAAGAAGAGTGCTGGTGCCAGCAATCAGCCTTAACATGGTACTTGTTGCTGTCAGTGGCCAAAGTACGCAGGGCACTGCAGAGGGCCTCCATGTCCTCGTAAACAAAATCCTCCTCAAGGTCTCAGGTGAGCCCAAAGAGCAGAGCAATGGTTTCACCAGCACTGATCTGCAGGTTCACACTTACAATGGAGAAGAGCTGGGGCCGCTGGCTATCAAGAATGTGGCTGATGCAGGTACTGGGGCAGATGCCCAGGCCTGCAGGGAAGCACAGAGCAGGCCCTGCAGACTGGGAGGCACTACTGGGCTGTGGAGCCACCAGAGGTCCAGCTGAAAACACTAAGCAGGCAAAACAAGAGCCCAAGTCCTGGATGTCAGCAGCAACCACGCAGCAGCCCAGGCCAAGAGCAGAAGCACAGTGGAGCCAGGTAGCAGGGCTGGCTGTATTGGCCCTGAGCACAGAGACTAGCAGAGACTGCAGGCTGTGGAACTCCTCTTCACCTTTGGGTCCAGGGCCCAGCCACACACAGACCAGGCCTAGCATGGCAGCAGCCAGGGACTATTCCTCACCCTTTCCCTTTCTTGAGGTACTTTTCCAGGACATTGGCCAGAATAAGGCAGCGCTCTAGCAAGATGCCAGGGAGCAGGTAGGACTCCAGGACCAACACGTCCCACAGAGTATCTTGCAGGGTCCTTGGCACTCTCATCTGCAAGGCAGTCCACAAAAACCTTCAGCTTTTTCCTGGAGGTCTTCCTGCCAGCCCTGCTTATCCATGACATCCCCCCAAGGCTGTCCTCTGCAGTGGTGCTGAGAAGGCCGGGGCACTCACTGGTGGTGCTGTGGGCCTCACTAGAACCCAGGTCAGCTTTGGCACTGCTCTGGACACCTCCTCCACGGTGCTGGCTGCCCTTGTGGGGCGCATGGCCCTTTCTGGTGTGAGGCATGCTGGAAATTGGGCATGGGAAGCACAGGGGGCAGAGGGACCTGGAGGGTGAGGGGACTCCAGACCAGCCAGACACTGGTTGGTGTATTGAGACTTGGCCAAAAGACCCATTTTGCCCATTTTACAACTGGATTTTTCTATTAAGTTTTCACAGTTCTTAAGAATTGTACTTTGAAGATCAAGTCTAAGAACTCTTTTTTTTCCCCTGTTCTCTAGATTCTATTGTTTCTGTCTTCATGTTCACTGATTCTTCTTTCTGTCCTCTCAAATTACTGTTTCAATTTACTATTTTAAAATTTCCATCTGGTCTCCATCGTATCTTCTATTTCTCTGTGCTGACACTACATCTGTGTTGAGACTTACTATATTTTCATTTGTTTCCATGTTTGCTATTGCTACTTGAAGCATTTTTATGATGGCTGCTTTAAAATCTCTGAAATAATTCTAACATCTTTTGTCATCTCAGTATTGGTACCTAGAAAGTGTCATTTTTTTCATTAAAGTTGAGATTTTCTTGGTTCTTGGTATGATCAAGGATTTTCAATTGAAACCTATACTATCATGAGACTCCGGATCTTAAAACTTCTGCTTTTGCTGCCTGTTAGAGTCACTAGCTCATTACTACTAGGTGGGGGTAGAAGACCAGATTCCTGAATTGGCCTTCACTGACATCCAAGGGGTAAAGGGTTCCTCGCTATAGCTGTGGAGGACCAGAAGCCCAGGCTCCCTAGATAGCCTCCCCTGACACCAAGGGGTGGCCTGGAGGAAGAAAAAAAGAATGGAAAATATACATTAGCATAGACTAGCAGAGATGGTACAGTGAGGTCTACATATGGTGGTTACTGGAGTTCCAGAAACAGGGAAGAAGCCAGATAGGCCCTATGGTAATTCTATGAGTAACAGAATGTGATGGAGATGATACTGGGCTAGCCATAAGCCTAGCCCTCAATTTCTACTGCCTTCCTTGTGAAGTCCTGAGGTGCTCTGTGAGTCTAGGATACTAGGCTGGACAGGGAGACCACCTGGAGGAGCAATGAAGCACCAGACATGAAAGTGAAGAAGCCATCTTGGACTCCGGCCCAGCTGAGTCTTAAGATGACTCCAGCTCTTACCACTGCATGAAAGATCCTAAGTGAGAACTTTCTAGCTAAGCCCAGTCAACATACAGACTATGGCAAACAATAATAAACTGTGGTTTTAAGCTACTAAATTTTGTTCTTTTTTTCTTTTATTAAATCATAGCTATGCACATTAATGCAATCATGGGGTACAATGTGCTGGTTTTATGTACCATTTGAAATATTTTCATCAAACTAAGCTACTAAATTTTGGAGCGGTTTGTTAGGCAGCAACAGATAACCAATAGTATATGAATCATCAAAGTCATCTAAGAGCGTGGCTCACTGAGATTTTACAAAGTGAACAAATGCATGTTAACAGAGCACTACAAGAACTAGAAGCCCTCTTCATTCCTGACCAGTCACTTCAACCCTTCAAAGGGTTACCACTATTGACTTCTAATACCCAATTTTATTGGTTTTTGATTTTAATATAAATGGAATTTTTATTTATTTATTGGAGACAGAGTTTCACTACGTCATCCTCGGTAGAGTGCTGCAGTGTCACAGCTCACAGCAATCTCAAACTCTTGGCCTCAAGCAATTCCCTTGCCTCAGCCTCCCAAGTAGCTGGGATTACAGGCACCCACCACAATGCCTGGTTATTTTTTGGTTGTAGTTGTCGTTGTTTGGCAAGCCCGGGATGGGTTTGAAACCACCAGCTCAGCTATACGTGGCTGGCACCCTAGCTGCTGAGCTATAGGTGCCGAGTCTATATAAATGGAATTATATAATTAGTGTATATGTGTAGACACAGATTATTTTTGTGTCTGGATTCTTTCACTTAGCTTTATATTTGTAGGGATCTTCCATATCGTGTGTAGCTAACCTCATTTCAGATACAATGATTGCTCATCCATTCTGCCTGTGAGGAGGTTTGGGCTGTACTCCAGTTATGGACTATTATGAATATTACTACTTATACGTATGTGTGCATTCTGTTGGATTGGAATTGCGGAGTTACAGGATATACATATGTTCATCTTTAGCAAATAATGCCAAAGTATTCCAAAGTGGTTCTATCAATTCCCCTTCTCATTTACAGATGTTTTTATCATGACCCAGACATAGGCTGGCATAATACCTCTCTCCATTTTGGAACTTTTAGACTTCTTCTCTTCCATTCTCATGTAAAATTCCACCCCTCTATTGAAATCCCCACCTTCTGACTCTAACAAACCTCAGCCGCCTTCTATTTATTATATCCCAACCTCTAAGACTTACTCTTGAACTCTCTGAATGTTGATATGGGCTTAGCTCACACTCTTCCTCTGTCCCAACACCGGAATTCATTCTGGGGAAAACGATACATCCTTGACTTCACTGTTCTAACGGAATTTGATTTTATTCTATCTTAGCAAACTACTTATATGAGTTACATCCCAGAGTTTATAATTTCTTAAAGCATATCTTCTTGGATAATTTAAAATCTACATTCTAATCAAACCTCTTTTCCTTCTATCCTGCTTCATCTTTTTTTTTTTTTTTTTTTGGATAGAGCCTCAAGCTGTCCGCCTGGGTAGAGTGCCGTGGCATCAAAGCTCACAGCAACCTCCAACTGCTGGGCTCAAGAGAGTCTCCTGCCTCAGCCTCCCAAGTAGCTGGGACCACAGGCACCTGCCACAATGCCTGGCTATTTTTTGGTTGCAGCCGCCATTGTTGTTTGGCGGGTCTGGGCTGGATTCGAACCTGCCACCTTAGGTATATGTGGCTGGTGCCTTAGCCACTTGAGCCACAGGCTCCAAGCCTCCTGCTTCATTCTTATTAAGCAGTCTTTGAATGCACTTGAGATTTCTAGTCAATCAGTCTCTCTTTCTTCCCTGTTCAGCCAGGGTGCATAGACTCCAAATCTCCTTGTCCCCTGTCTCTCTACCACACCAAGGATGTTGAGGACTACCAGAACATCACATGATGACATTACTGGTTCTACTACCAATTCAGGACTGTCACTTTATGAGGAGAGTGCCCCTTAGATTGTTTGATAAGTCTTTTTTATTTATTCCTTTAGTTGGATATTGGTCTCATTTCCATGGTAGCTGTTTTAGAATTTATTGTTCTTTTAGGGCCAATTACCATACCTCTAATTCTTTTACCATTTTAAAATTTCTATCTTTATTTCTTTTTTTTTTTTTTTGGAGACAGAGTCTCAAACAGAGACAGAGTCTGTCCCATTGCTGGGTAGAGTGCCATGGTGCCATAGTTCACAGCAACCTCAAACTCTTGGATTCAAGTGATCCTCTTGCCTCAGCTTCCCAAGTAGCTGGGACTACAATGTCTGGCTATTTTTAGAGGCAGGGTCTCGCTCTTGCTCAGGCTGATCTCGAATTCCTGAGCTCAGGCAATCCACCCACCATAGCCTCCCAAAGTGCTAGGATTACAGGTGTGAACCACTGTGCCCAGCCTATTTATGAAAAGGAGTCTTGCTCTGTACACCCAAGCTAGAGTGTACTGGCATGACCATAGTGCACTGTAACCACAAACTTCTGGGCTCAAGTGATCCTCTTGCTTCAGTCTCCTGAGTAGCTAGGACTACAAGAACGCACCACCGTGTCTGGAAAATTTTAAAAAATTTTTTTATTAAGACAGGATCTTGCTATATTGGTCAGGCTGCTCTCAAACTCCTGGCCTTGGCTGATCCTCCTGCCTCGGCCTCCTAAAGTACTGAGGTTTCAGCTGACACACCCAGCAAATCCCTTCAATTCTTAACAGATAAGCATGCTTTCTATTTCTCAAAGAAAACACAACTGCAAATATAATTTCCTTCAGATTCCTTCCCCTTTAGCTTAAGACTTTCCTATTAACATCACCCTTTCCTTCTCTGCAGAAAAGCTAAGATACCTCCAATCTAATGGCAAAGCTACCAGACCCTTATGTACTTGATGACTTCCCTTGCTACTTCCATTACTTGTTTCTCTCCTTCATTTTCAGAATCTAATATGTTCATGCTTCCACCTTCAAAAAGCAAGCAGCAAGGATGTGTGTCTCACTTCTGTAACAAACCTCTCCCATCCTTCCCTTCTCTTCTAACCTTACAGAATGATGTCACATTTTTACTCACACATCCTTACCTTCCATTCATTCCTTGCCTTTCTAAACTATGGCTTTCTCCGTTCTGTCTACAGGTACTGCTGAGGCCTTTAAGATTAATTGTTCAATCCAAAGGCCTGTTGTTAGCATTCATCCTCTCTGCCCTTTCTGTAGCAGATATTACTGAGCACAACTTCTTTCAAGATTTTTGAAAAATAAGATTTTTCCTCCTTTGGCTTCCAAGATATCCTAGTTTCCATAATGATGATTATTTCTCAATTTTTTTTCTGACTCAGCCTTTCAATGCTAGGATTCCATCTTCAGTTCTCTTTAACAAGGGTTATGTATAAGATCAGAAACTCCTAGTGTTCAGTGACTTCAACTGAAGTCTATCTGCCAAAGATTCTAGATCTGTTTTTACACTCAAACTCTTTTCTTCCTTATATATTAACCCATCTACTCAATGTGAAGTCTCATTAATACTTCAAAATATGTAAAACTAAACTTTATAAACAACATGTTCTTTAGCTAGAAGCTTTGCTATACTGGAGACCCCTCCAGTATATAGTGTTTCCATATCTAGTATCACTGGTGCAGATTGCTACAAAAATGTCCCTCAGATCCAATCTCCTAGTCTCTACAACATTAGCTCAAAATCTTCATCATTTCTCATTTTAGCAGACTACATGTTACATTAGAAGTCTATAGCAATCAAAATAGCATGGTGTTGACACAAAAAATAGAAACATCGATCTGTGGAACAGAAAAGAAAACCTACAGATAAAACTAGCCCTGTATCACCACAAACAAAGGTATATACTGGGGAAAAGAATCCCTGTTTAATAAATGGTACTGGGAGAACTCATTTAGCCATGTGTAAAAGTCTGAAAATGGACCCAGACCTCTTATCACTTAAAAAAAATTGACTCACAATGGATAAAGGATTTAAATCTAAGACATGAACCAATACAAACTCTGAAAGAAAGTGTGGGGAAAACCTCTTGATGATATTGACCTAGAGAAAGATTTTTATGAAGAAGGCACCATTGGCAATTGCAGCAATGACAAAAATAAATAAATAGAACCTAATCATGTCAAAAAGCTTTTGCACAGTTAAGGATAAGACAAAGCAAATTAAGAGAACTTCAGAATGAGAGAAGATGTATAAATCTGACAAAATCCACAAAGCATTCAAACTTTTTAAAATTTTGAAAACCAAAATCTATAGAGAACTCAAAACTTATCAATAAGAAAAGAGCAAACAGTCTCAGCTATCCTTGGGCCAGAGGCATGAATAACCTTCACCAAAGATAGACAAATGGACAATACACACATGAAAAAATGCTCATCATCCCTAATCAGAGAAAAGGCAAATTAAACCACCCTGACAAGGGGCTTCCCACTTAGATCCCTTCCTTCCACTGCTGCAGGTTCTATTCCTCCTCCTTTTGCTCATCAATCTATCAATCATTCCATGGATAAACTCTGTCCTTTTACCAAGACAAACAAACAAACTATCTTGAGATATCACCCAACACCAGCAAGAATAGTCTACATCACAAAGTCTCAAAGCTGCAGCTTCTGGTGTGGACGTGGAGACAAACATTTACATACTGTTGGTGCGACTGCATCATTTATTATTGCACCATAATATACCCATTTGAGAAAGAAGTATGGAGAATCCTTAAAGAACTAAAAGTAGACCTTCCATTTGATCCCACAATATCATTACCCAGAAGAAAAAACAATAATCATCTCATAAGGACATATTTTTATTTTGAGACAGAGTCTCACTATGTCACCCTCTATAGCATGCGACAGCATCATAGCTCACAGCAACTTCAAACTCAGGCTTGATTCTCTTGCCTCATCCTCCCAAGTAGCTGAGACTATAGGCACCCACCAGCTATTTTTTTATTGCAGTTGTTTAGCTGGCCCGGGCCGGGTTTGAACCCGCCACACTTGGTGTACGTGACTGGCACCGTAACCACTGTGCTACGGGTGCTGAGCCTCATAAGCCACATTTAGATATTTATCGCAGCTCAATTCACAATCATCAAGATGTGAAATCAACCCAACTGCCCATCAACACCAACATCCTTATGAAAGGATTAATAAACTGTGGCATATGTATACCATGGATTACTATTCAGTCATAAAAAGATGGAAACTTTCTATTTTTTGTATTAACTGGATGGAGTTGAAGAACATTCTCCTTAGTAAAGTATCACAAGAATGGAAAAGCAAGTATACAGTGTACTCAACACTAATATGAAAGCAGTAGATGAAAAACCACATGCCCACATGGGAGAAAAACACAGTTAAATTCACGTTGGGGGAGGGGAAGAGGGAGGGGATATGGTAAGCTCTTGCCGGACAGGTACAATGTGTGTGTACAGGACACACCTCCTGGGACCTGACAAACGCAAACAATGTAACCTAATCGTGCTTCATACCAACCTGAAAGTAAAAAACAAACAAGCAATTATTATATCCCAAACTTGTCTTCCTGCTGCCACTAATGCTTCCCAAACTGCTCCTGAAATTATCTTTCAAAAAATCAAATATAATCATATCCTGCTTAAATCTATCTTCCTCTACTTTCCATCACACAATATATTAAAACTGAAATTCTTAGCATGGTTTTGTACCAACTAGTATTAATCTGTCTCTCAAGTTACTGGACAACATGCAACTTCACTCCAGCCACGTTTACTCATTCCCCATTCTCACAACATGCTGCAACTCCATTCAGATCTGCTCTAGCTTCTCTCTGGAGTATCTTTTCTTCCTTTCTTGAAGACCTCGCTCAAATATCACCTCTTCTAGTCACTTTTATCCCAAGCTGAATTAGCTACTCCTTCTAGTACCACTGTTAATGCTTCTTTTTAAAAGAACAAAAAATCCCCCAATATTTATTGCTTCCTCATATTTGTAATATCTCAGCAGGCAAGCAACATTCCTTGATGACCAAATGTTTATTAAACAGAATAAAGACATATCTTTTATCACTTACCTAGATCTATATGTACTAGTTCTGCTGACTGCTCATTTATCAGGATATTCTGCACGTGTCTGTCACCAAGTCCAAGTATGTAACCAACTGGAAAAAAAACCTGAAATCACTGATTTCTTTTATTTCTAACACACATTTAGCCACAATTTCAACTAGTACCATTGACTCAGTGAAAGTTTTACTTAGTTTAGGCTTACAGTAAATTATGTATATAACTAATCATTTTGACTTCAAGTCAAATCTTGACAGCTATTTTCACATGTACTGCATTTTGCAAATCTTCAATGATTTGCTAGAAAATATTTTCTCTTTATTAATATATACATAGTTTAAAATATTAGTACTTTGAAAATAGTTGTGGTTAAAGTTGAGACCCATTGTTTACCTGGGACAAAGCAACCTATATTATGCATATTTACCCAAATTTTCTGTACACTCTCAAACTAAGAAATGTATGGGTAAATTCTTCATTCTTCAGTGAAACTTTCTTCTGTTTAATGAATTATATGTAACACAAGTTAGCCATTAATTCATTTTACCAGATATATATCCATTTCTGTTGTTAAGATAAATGACAACATACCTTACAGTGCTTTTAACAGAGATAGCATGTGATAGTACATAAAAAACAGTGGGTAGGGAGTGAGGATGCCTGAATTACTGTCATTAACTGGGCCTACTTTCTTGTTTAAGCTAAATTAATACCAGATTAGTGATTCTCAATGTAGAAAAGAGTTTCATGATGATCTGGGAACTTTATAAACACATACATGCCTCCCTGGGGTATGGAGCACAAGTGATGGGAGGACTCATCTTTAAAAACTAATATATTAGATGATCTCTGATGTTTCTATTAGTTCTAATACTCTAGGATTTTGTTAAATGCCCTACATAGCTATTCTCATCTCTTAGAAATTAAAAACAAAATAAAAATATATGTTGAACACTAAATATTTAAGGATATCACAATTTCTATATTCTGAAAAAAAATTATATTAAACAGAATCAACCATTGGGTGATGCGTATTTTAATGATACAAGAGAGATTCTGTGCCAAAGAATAAGTGAAGGAAGTCCAACAGAGTTACTGTAGGTTTTGTTATTTTCCAAAAAAAGTCTAATCAGAAAATAACACATTGAGAGGAGAGAAAATAATCCATATTCACTATAAAACAAAGACTAAGAAAAACCAGTCTGACTGCCCTGCCTTGGAGTAAAAGAATTCTCTTCTGTAAAAACTATAAAAAGCTACATAACAAAGCAAAGAAGAAAGACAAATAAGAAACACAATGATTTAAAGTTTAAGATGGTTTAGTTAACAACCACTATCATAACCACCATTCCCCTGCAACTCAGAACACAGGAAAGCCATGACACTACTGAGATGTACAAGATTACCAATGGAAGAAGTGGCCACACTGCGAGTATAAGCCAATCGCCTCTCAAACCAAACAGCTGGGTCCAAGAATTTTTCCATGCAGAAGTAACGAAAAACTGGTTGAAAATTTTGGCAAATATGCATGAAGGTTTCATATTTCTCTTCAAAAGACTTCTTTTGCACCTCCTTTAAATAGATCATATATAAAATTATTCTTAATACTGTGTTCAACTAATTCAACTGATGTCCACTATATTTCTATATAAAAATAGCTACAGGGGTAATAAAAAGATAACCAAGATACTCTACCCACAAGAAGCTAACGGTCTGGTGAGGGAAGCAGTTAATTACAAATGATAATCCTTTTAGGGTTTTCGTATTAATCATAGGGGAAGAAGGCATAAAAATAATGACTAGTAATTGTTTTAGTTAAATCCTAACATGAACGATCCTGTAATCTAGGCAGAAGTAAACACAGAAATGCCAAAGGTAGCTCCAGATAATCTTGGGTGGCCTCACAGAACTAGGGTTGCAACAGGAAACAGGATAAAGAATGAAAGCATCATGATGGATGGCAGGTGACATGTCTCATGTCTCTGTCCTCGAACATCTTCTCACTGTATAAACTTTCCTGAAGCAAAGCTTCTCTACTTCAATAGGCTGAACTCCCACCTATGAACTGATGATTTCTAAATCTGTATCTTTGGCACAGACATCTTCATAAGCTCCAGCTTGACGTGCTTCTCCAAATGACCTCTCAAAATCTTCACTTGGAGCCCTTCCAAATCCAAACAAAATACTTTTCATTTTTGGCAAACCTTGGTCACCTTCTCAAATCTTCAATTCAGTAAACAGTCCTATTATTCATGCAGGCACCACAACCAGAAAACTGGAATGCCCTGGCTACTCCTTTCTCCAACCTCACTTCTAATCAGCAAACAAATGCTATCAGTTCTGCTTCAATATTTCTCTCCCTTCCCACAATTCTCCACTTCCACCCTTATTAGTCTTAGTTTAGACCTCATCTCATGCTTCCAGTCTGATTTCTCAAAAACATGACTCACAGTGCTGTCAGTTTCTTTCTAAAATGCAAATCTGATATTACTGTCCTTAGGGTCCTCTATTGCCTCAAGAATAAAGTGTAAGCTTGTTAGTGTTTCCTAAAGCAACTCTCCGGTTTTTGACCAACAACCTCTGCTCCAATTTCATTTATCTACTCTTCCTTAAAAACTAAATCTGTGCCTTCTTTGTGTGCTTATGCTTCACCCCCTTTGTTTGTATGCTCCTTTTGCCTTGAAAAACAACTTCATTTTTAAAATTGGACTAAAATACCTGCTCTATGAAGCTTTTCTTGAATCTAACTCTCTTTACTCCTCTCCACTCCAGGTATAGCTAACCACTTCCTAATCCACACCTATGCTGTACTATGCTGTGTGTCCTGTACAGACTTCTATCACAATGCCTATCGTACTTACTAGATATCTTTTAAAACAAGAAACAGCATAATAACACGAAAAGTAATTGGATTTTGGAGTTGGACAGATGGTTCAAATTCTTGCTACACTCTTTATTATCAGCTCAATGACCTAAGCAAATTAAGCACACTGAACTTACCATTCATTTTCTTTTTCTATTCTGTTTTTTTGAGGCAGAGTCTCACTATGTTGCCCTGGATAGAGTGCCATGGTGTCACAGCTCACAGCAACCTCAAACTTTTGATCTTAAGCAATTCTCCTGACTCAGCCTCCCAAGTAGCTGGGATTACAGATATCTGACACAATGCCTAGCTATATTTTTAGGCTGTCGTTGTCACTGTTGTTTAGCTGACCCAGGTGAGGTTCAAACCACCAGCCCTGATGTATGTGGCCAGCGCGCTAACAGCTGAGCTCTGGGTGCTGAGCCATGATTTTTATTTTTTTGAGACAGGGTCTTAATCTACTGCCTAGGCTAAGAAGAGTGGTGTCATCACAGCTCACAGCAACCTCAAACTAATGGACACAAGCAATCTTCCTGCCTCAGCCTCCCAAATAGCTGGGACTACTAGAGCATACACCACCATGCCTGACTTATTTTTCTATTTTTTCTAGAGACAGGATCTCACTATCTTCTACAGGCTGGTCATAAACTCTTGGTCTCAAGCAATCTTCCAGCCTCAGCTTCCCAATGCTGAGATCAGTGGAGTGAGCCACTGCACCTGACATGAACTTATTTTAAAATGGGGCTAAGGATGATGATGAATTAGTCATAATATGTATTTAGAAAGTCTCTACCTGTCAGTACCTGTTACATAGAAGGCATTTAATGAATGCTGCTGATTCAGTGAATAAATATCATTCCAGATGACCAGTATGACATGACAAATGTCTTAGAAGGTTTTGTATAGCAATTTCATATGAAAATTACTTTGTAATCTATCTTTTGCTTTAGTTAGTGTTTTGCTTTGTGTTTTTATCTGTTGGCCAGGCTAGCCTCAAATTCCTGGGCTTAAGTAATCCTCCCAGCTCAGCTTCCCAAATAGGTTGCGATTACAGACTCATGCCGCCTCATCTGACATTTTAATGAGTGTTTTGTTAAGAATTACCTTACCATAAATTGGAAGCAAACTAGCATATACCAAATAACATTTAAATTTCTCATCTAACATGGGGTTGACATGTTAGGTAGTTTGAAAACCTTCCTTTTCACTCATGTATACTTTCATTCTGTGAGCTTACTTTCTCTTATTTAGTATCTTTGACAATTACCTTATGAAATTAAAACTTTTTGTATTCTGTAACATCTGATATCCGTTAGCTTTAAAAGCTTTTTATCTTTTTATTATCTTACAATAATTGAGTGCCACTCACCATCATTATCTTTTGACATTGATAGGCGCTAAAATCTTGTGGCCTGTATCTTTTATGAGCACCATCTTCATTGTTCACAAGAAATTCACCAATAGGGACAGTTCCTGTGCACCATTCAAGAACACCACTTCTCTGAGAGAGGGGCACCACCTTTAGTTAAAGAATAAATAACTTTTCATTATGTAAGTCCATTAAAGAACATTTGATGAATACTCAATTATCACAGTCAATGTAAAACATTTTTTCAAGTATTAACATTTCTCTGTTCATAAGACACGAAGCTCCTTGGAAGAAAGCGACCAGAAATAAGCTCAGCCAGTTCATCACTCAATCCCTACCAACCCTGAGAAGTCACTCAAGTTAATTACATTTACTGTTATCATCCATAGGTAAGTTTGTTCTTTTTGGCAGAAGAATTAACCCTGCTTTCCTTATACTTCTAATATCTACTAAATTTGAGGAATTTCACTTTGAAAAACATTACCCCTGTGGTCTTAATTTTAGTATAAGCGTAATAACTGAAATTAAATGTATTCTTGCTTTGTAGTCTTATTAGTTTCACTAAAAGAACGTGTATTCCTAAACATAAAATAAGTGATTTTGCTAAGATTTTGAAAGATTTTTTAAATAAAAGTATTATAAACATATATAAAAATAGCCTTTTTTCACATTAAATCAAATCTCCGATTTTTCTCATATCTGCTGGGAAGGAGATAAAGCCCCTTTTATACCCTCGTTGATCCCATGTCTCTTTCTACCATCACGGAGACTGCTAACTGGTTATGTTCATGTATTTTTTTCATATACTTTTATTTCAAACCTATACATACATAAATAGTTCTAAGTTTTAAAGAAAGATTACAACATATGTGTACTTCTGCAACTTGCTTTCTTCTTATTTAACACTATTTTTACCATTAGTGGTGTTAGTATATTTAACTCTAAGTCACTCATTTTAACAGCTGAAGCTGTGTAAATATACCACAATTATCCAATTTATACATTCTACATGTTAACATTTATATTGTCCCTAGCTATCCCAGAAATACTGCTGCAATGACTTGTTTTCCCCATAAACCGTATTTTAGCTTCTCTGTGGTATACACACTTAAGAAATGAATAGCTGGGTCATAGGGGATAAGTTCAACTTAGTGAACCTGATACTTGTCAAATAACTATCCAAAGTGATCGTACCAATTTATATCCCCACCAGCAGAGTTTTTCTACAACTTTTCTGACATTTAGTATTTTCAGAATTCTTATATTTTCCCAATTTGAGGGTGTGTAAATGTAACCTACTGGGGTTTTAATTTTTATTTTCTAGATTACTAGTTGAGTATCATTTAATAGTTTTATTGACCAATATTTTCTTTTTCTGAATGCCACATTTATATTTTTTACTCTTTTCCCTACTGGCTTGTCTTTTTATTAATAGTGTGTTAAGAGTTCTTTATATATTCTTCATACAAATCCCTTGCTGTTCCATTTTATTTTATTTTTTTCTTTCAGAAACAGGATCTCACTCTGTCACCCAGGCTAGAGTACAGTGACCAATCATAGCTTACCTACAACCTTGAACTTCTGGGCTCAAGCAATTCTCCTGCCTCAACATCATGAGTAGCCAGGACTACCAGAGCATGCCACCACAACACCTGGCTAATTTTTCTACTTTTTGTAGAGAGGGGATCTCACTCTTGCTCAGGCTGGTCTGAAACTCCTGGCCTTAAGGAATCCTCCTGCCTCAGCCTGAGTATTAGGATTATAGGTGTGAGCTACCACACTGGCCCCTTGTTCTTAATATCATGATGATCCTTTCTATTGTTGTAACATTATTATATTGATTTCCTCAGTTGATTATCTGTCTTTGTGTTATCTTCCATATATTATTATTTCTAATGTATTCAACTATGTTGAACTATTTTATGTTTTTTGTCTTAAGGAGGCATTTAATAGTTTATTTACATGTTTGTTGAGAGTCTATTATGTGTTACACATAGTGGTAGGGCACAGAGAATAGAATGGCCAAAAAGACAGCCTAAGACTATGTCCTCATAAAGGTTCATTCTGATGAAGGAATATATACATTAATAAACATTTAAGGATGTCACATAGTAAGTATAATGGAAAAAAACATAAATTTAGATAAAAGACTATGGCAACATGGTCTCTAAGGAGGTTGACATTGGAGAAGAAATCCGAATGAGGGAAGAGCGTGACTAGTGTAAAGATCTTAGAAACAAAAAAAGTTTAAAATGATCTATATTTGATGACATTTAGGAATTTCTGCTAAGTGTTTTAGGAGTAATGACAGTAGTATAACTATGGTTTGGGGTTTTTTTTAGAGACATTATCTCATTAAGTCTATGTCAAAATATTTACAGATGAAAAGATATGACACTTTTTTTTTTTTTTATAAAAGATATGACACTTTACTTCAAAATATTATTGGAAGAAAGGAAGTGGATGGAAGTAGAACTGGAACAAAATATTCCATGAATTACTATTTGTTGAAGTTGGGTGATGGATGCAAGGGAAATAAGTGCAAGCCTATTTCCATAATAGGCCTGGTGCCCATAGCTCAGTGATTAGGCAGGCCACATACACTAAGGCGCAGGTTGGAACTGCCAGGCCTGCTAACCAACAATGACAACTGCAACAAAAAATAGCTGGGCATTGTGGTGGGTGCCTGTAGTCCCAGCTGCTTTGGAGGCTGAGGCAAGAGAATCGCTTAAGCCCAGGAGTTCGAGGATGCTGTGAGCTATGACGCCATAGCACTCTACTGAGGGCAACATAGTGAGACTCTGTCAAGAAAGAAAAGAAAGAAAGAAAGGAAAAGTTCCATAATAATGAAAGTTAAAAAATAAGGCCCTTCATTTTAGTCTGATGAACCAAGAGAAGGTAGCACCACGGGGAAGAGCAGGTTGCTTTTGGTTTCAGGTATCTTGGGGGTGGGAGGTGACTAATCAAAAGTTCTATTTTTTAAAATTATTGAGTTTGAGCTATCTCTTAGACTGCTATATAACTGACTAACCTTATCAAAACCCAGCTCTTCAAACGGCTGTATATGACCTAACAAAAGTCTTCTTATTATAAACTAAAGGAAAAACAGGGTATCATTATAAGTAGGCTAGAAGTCTAAAGAGCAAAAAGACCAGGACCAATGAACCATGATCCGCGCTCTGAATTTTTCAATGACCAGCATGACTTTTCAGGCATGCTCCCACAAGGCTCCGCCACATGACGGACACCATCTCTAACAATTCACTTCATGTCATGTTATTTGTCTCTTTCCCCAATTAGACCATGACCTCCTTAAGGACTAGGGCTGTTTTATTATAATACTTTCGTATCCCCAACACTTAGTAGAGTATTGTATACAACATTAGGCATGTAAATTAATATTCACTAGACAAATGAATGATCTGCAAAACCTTTCCAACGAATTTCCCTTTATGCCTAAGCACCTCTCAACACTTCGCAGGAAATCCTGTCCTATCTTTGTGAGTTGGTTGTGGACTCTGAATGCTTGATCATGTTAAGATTCTTGCATTGTAGTACAGTCTAGCTAAGGTATTTTTTCCACTGATTAATATCTAGTTCTGGTGGGGGCAGATTACACCCTTGTTTTTTTTTTTTTCCTTTTTTGAGCGCTTGATCTAAGAAGAATAGATTAGCTTTTCTCTATCTCAGCTGAGAGTCCCAACTATGATGTTGGCTGATAGTGAAAGAGCTGAATTTAAATTCTGAAATGACGGTGTTTTCTCTAATACTAAAGATTCTTTGGGACAGCCTATTTCAACAGGGTATCTGGGTGTTTTGCATGGGTGTCAGAAAAATGAATATTTTCTCAGTGCTCCCAGGGTACACAGGTGGTATCATTCTAGATATACACATGGAAACGAGCTTAATTAACAGCTTCTCTTTCCAGATCTCTGACCGAGAAGGGCACTCAGAAATACACGCGAGGAATAAAAATTATTTACTGATATAACATACCATAAACGGGTAAGTACAAAGTTTCTTTCAGCACTTACATATTGCTTCTAAGATACTTCCATTTTAGAAAACAAATCCTCTGACATCTAAAACTTTAGGCTTATTGTTCAGTATACTTTTTAACAATGTAGTTTTGGTGGAGAAAAATTCAGCCAGCAACCCCAATTCTGGTTAATGTCAGAGGGCTAAGTCTGAGTTACCAGCATACACAATAACATCTTTGTCTTCACTTCTCCCTGACAAAGAGATATCTGGCATGCTAATATACAAGCCCCTCCTTTTGAAGTTGTACAGTGACTGACACATGAGCTTTGGCCACCAAGAACCATTCCAGGTAGTCAATGCAGCCTCCTGCTGACACAATAATTACAGAAGGCCTGAATTCCAGGATTGAGAATGACTCCACAGAAAACAAGGCACACTGCTTCCCTAAAACATTTCCAGGAACCGTAACTAAAGGAAAAATAGTTCAATTTATTGATGATATAACTTTTCACATTGTTGGAGTAATCTCAACACTATTGCCAAAGTAACAAAGGCTAACATAAGCTCTCATGTTCAGAGGTCACACTTCAATATTGAGATGTATAACATCACATAACTCAATGAGTTTTCTGGGTTGCCCATTTTCTAAATTTCTTAATGGAATAATTTAGTTGGTAAAATAGTTCTGTACAAAAATTAGATGCTGAAAAACTCCTGAAGTTTAGGAGTTGAGAGTTTAGTAATTTTTGCCTGCAAAATATTCTACGTTAGGCTTTCTCTTCTTCATGCTTTATAGTAAGGAACTCTGGAGAGTCAATGGTGTTTTTCCTTGAAAAGCAATAGCCATATACCTCTGTAAGCCATCATAACCCAATTCTTGAACCATCATCTTTGCAATCGAAAAGCCTGTCATTTACAGCATGAAAGTTTCCTTTCATTCAGTCTGGGAGACAGAGTGAGATCCTATTTCTAAAAAAAATAAAGATAAAAGTAAAAATTTCCTTTCATCCACATTATAGAATACCTACTCTCTAAAATCTTCTGGATTGAGCAACATAGCAAGACCTCATCTCTTAAGAAAAAAAAAAGACTGGGTGTTGCCTGTGGCTCAAAGGAGTAGGGCACCAGCCCCATATACCGCAGATGGCGGGTTCAAACCCAGCCCCGGCCAAAAACTGCAAAAAATATTAGCTAGGGCAGTGCCTGTGGTTCAAAGGAGTAGGGTGCCAGCCCCATATACGGGAGATGATAGGTTCAAACCCGGACCCGGCCAAAAACTGCAAAAAAAAAAAAAAAAGACTGGTTGTGGTAGGTGCACATGTAGTCCTAGCTACTCAGGAAGCGGATGTAGGAGAGGCTCAAAAATGTGCAGCTGCAGTAAAGCTGTAACTGCACCACTGCACCCAACCTAAGTGACAGAATAAAAGCTTTCTCCAAAAAAAAAAAAAAAAAATTAAAACAATTAAAAAAGTGAAAATTTCTTAGCGATCTTTAAATTATTTGTTAGATAACTAATACCTCATTAACTCTGTCCTATGATTAAGTCTGATCAATGGATAGTAAACAGAATGATGGGTCTCCAAAGCGTCGTCCCTGGAACAGAACAACATCAACATGACTGGTATCTTGCCAGACCTGTACACTCTCAGGTTCCACCCGAGACCTACTGAATTGTGAGAATGGACTCAGCAATCGGTGTTTTACAAAACCTCCAGTGATTATGATGCCTACTGAAGTGTGAGTGCCACTGATCCATTACATGTCAAAGAAGTCCCTCTATAGAACAGCTTTTACAGAGTTTTAACTTTGGCTTTTTGTACTCATTGAGGATTAACTAGTTTTTTTAACTGCTAATGGAAAGCATCTGTTTGTTATATTAATTAATAACTCATAAGTTCCACATCACAAACTTCTCACAAGGTTGAATGCCAAGAAAAAAGTATGCTTTTCCAAATGGGAAAGTAGGTAGTACTAACGGGAGGTAGTACACTTCCTTCCAATCAATGAATTTCATATTCATGTTTTTAAAAACAGTTAAGAATCTCAAAATCAAGTACTGTTTTCAATTATAACAGCCTATCCAGTAAGAATTTTGGGCGGTGGATCTAATTTCTTTCCTCCTACTTCCCTAACCATTTAGGGATTTTAATTTAGCAATTTACTTTTTGAGGCAGTCTCACTTTGTTGTCCTCGGTAGAGTGCCATGGCGTCACAGCTCACAGCAATCTCCAACTCTTGACAAGCTTAAGTGATTATCTTGCCTCAGCCTCCCATGTAGCTGGGACTACAGGTTCCTGTCACAACACCCAGCTATTTTTAGAGACAACCTCTCTGGCACAGGCTGCTCTCCAATCTATGAGCTCTGGCAATCGACATACCTTGGCCTCCTAAAGTGCTAGGATTCCAGGTGTGAGCCACCAGGCCAGCTCCATTGTATTTTAAATGAGTCTCAATTGTTAAGATAGCTACAAGTTAAGAAGCATTCACTTGCCAGAAAAAATAAACACTTACTGGCTTGTACCATTTTCAGAGTATAAGAAATGTATATGTAGCTATCCTACAAGTTTCTGAAAGACTGCTTCTCTACAGGACAATGAATTATTCAACATATTTGTTTATATCCTCATAGAAAAATGAACAAATAAGCCCTGTTACAACTGTGACAGAAGAAGAAAGGGAAAAAATGAGGTATAGCAATGAAACCAGTAAGAATAGACCTATAGAAAATCGGTTCTTCAAACTGAGGATTTATTGTTATTTGTTTAAAAAAAAAGATAGGCTAAATGAACAATCAACATAATAGCCAAAGATGATCAGCAAATAAAATAATGTGATTGAAGATTTCGCAAGGAAACTGCTGGAGGAAATATAAATGGGTTCATTCCCATGAAGGGTAATCTGGCACCGTCTACCACACTGTAAGTACATGTATCCTCCATCAATTCTACTTTCTGGAAATCTCTCTCACAACTTGCCTGCACATGTATAAAATTCTT